GTTACAGTATTGTCCTTTTCCCATCCTGCCCCAAATGACTCTACACAGTTACCTACTACTATGTCATAAAAAAATTTTTGCTCTTTCACCCCAAAATAGCAACATATCAGAAGTTTAGGAGCTTTTTACTGTATATTTAAATTTTATGACAAAACAACAGAGACTTTTTTGAGATAAAAGAAGCTGAACATGTGTTCAGTGGCTAGGCATTATCCCCGTTTTTGCTCTGATCCTGCACTGTGTGGCAGCACTTTCAATCATTCTATCCTCTTTGTCTCTAGGTTGTAGGGGGAGTATTAGAAATTAACATCTGTCAGATTCAGAATAAAATGAAACCAAACAAAACAGAGTAAATTGAATGAATGCAGAAAAAAATACATACACTATATTTCACTATATTGCAAGATACCTAATCATCAASTCATGCTGTATCTTAAAGGAACCGTAAATCACTTGGACCTCAGTAAGCAGGAAAGACTCTCCATCTGTCTTTCCTTGCTTCTACTAGTTTTTGCCACACATCAAAGAGAAGTGCACTCCTGTTGGTAGGTTGGTACCTGCCCATGAGCACCATTAAGAAAATAAAAGAAAGAAATCTAACCAAAACTCCGAAGTCAGATTGCAGGGTAACTTAAGTGGTCTAAGGACTTGATACAAATTAAGACTGCTTGAAAAAAAAAATTGCTTGAAATACCAACGACATCAGAAGGTCTTTTCAAGTTTGGGTAAGTATCCTGAAGGTAGAAGAAAAAGCCACATAAAAACTGTGTAATTGGGTTCAAGCTCTCTGTCTTCCAGAAGTGCTGATTCATGTTTGCATGAGTCTTAGAAAATTAATGTTGTTTGAAAGTTGACTTCTGTCAGGTATAACATAAATAAATACAGGGAGAAGGACTGGGTTCACTTCAGGAGACAAAGGAAAGCAGAATTCAGCAGAAACTTAACTTGCTTTTTAATATTTTAGGATACAGATGATTTATTGGCCAGGCTGCTTGCTTTGTATATGCAAAAATGTTCCTGTTAAAAGTATTCTGAAAACTAATGACCCTAACATCATGTCATATAAGATTTTATTGCTCAGCATGAACCATTTTTATCAAAGCAGTTCTTATTGTACTTGAGCAAATGTAACAGGCAAAAAGTCTTTGCATGCTTCCTTTCTATGTGCTGTATCTGGTCATAATTTAATATACATTTTGGAATCTCTTATTTCACGATGAGAAGGTGAAGTGTTAGGAAAGTGCCTTGCTGTGCCAGRCTTGGAGCTTGTAAATTAAAAACTACAGAGAGGAGAGATGAGCAGTCCAAACTGGCACATTTCTTAGCCAATTAATCTTTTAAAAAATTCTGTGCAGGTTACAGAGGCCATCATGAAAGTCTGTAGAAAAACAAGTTTAAAGTTATCTATAGGGCAGATAACCAACACTGGATCTCTCTCTACAGCCAGAAGAGAAACTCATTCTCCATTCCTCTGAAAAAGAAGCTACTGGCAAGGTGGGAACAGACTCCTACCTGTTCTTTATCCATACTCTTGCCTCCAGTTTGGCATTGTACCAACGATAGATAGTGGTCAGGAGGAAGCATGCTGCAGAGAATATGCTCCAGGCACATCCAGTGCCAGCCCATCTTGTGCAAGTAGACAAATCTGAACCRAGAATCCCCGTGCGAGACAATCACATTGTTTCACATGTTCACAAATCAGATGTTTCACATCTGAAACATGCAGACGATGTGGCTTTTTGCTGGAAGAAGGGCCTCCACAGATATTTTAGGGAGAAGCCCTTAGTAGGCAGCACAARCACGTATGTGGGTAATGCTGCAAGGTGCAGCTAAGCAAATGCTTCCATTTGACAGATACTCCCACAGGCTCTGCCTCTGTGCAACTTCCTCCTTTCCTACTGCTATAAATGCTCAGCCTTTGGTCCAGTTCAGATCTCAGAGCATGGGTATCTGGACTCACGTTGGCTGCAGATACAGCAAGCTTAGGTGAAGAATCATTCCTGCTCTACAACCCGTACTGCACTAGGCGATGGTTCCCACACAACAGGAACTGTAGTAATTCTAAACAGCCTGCATTCCATCAATTCCCTCCTCCCTCTTGCACCATACAARTGTCCCTGCACAATACCTCCACCAGAAGCCTGTGTGCAGTGCTGATGCTTTTAGCCAAGGAAACCTGATTGCTTTTGAATTTCTTTCCGTGTATGTTGTAACTTACAAATGAGAATGTAAGTTTTGGGACCAATTTTCTAAGGAAAGGGAAAACTGCCAAATGTATGCTATTGGGGTGAGAAGCCAAGATTCCTTTAACAAGTCCCAGGAGAGCAAAAAGACGACCACATTTTCATTCTCTAGTCTTGAACAGATAGTTGACTGAATCCTTAATAACAAGGCATTAGAGTGAAGTCTAAGAYATAGTTTTTCCACTCCAGCTCCTAAGAAGAAGAAAGTCACAGAGTCACATAGCACTGATTTAAGTGTATGGCAGTACTGGGAAACAAGGGGTAGAAAAACATCTTCCATCCCCAAATTTTTCTAATGTGATCAGGAATGGCCTCTGTAGTCCTCCGTAGGGAGCACACAGGGCTCCAATGAAAGTTGTAACCTAGGGCATATAGCAATAAAACARGGGGAAATGGCTTTAAACTGGAAAAGAGTAGGTTTAGRTTAGATGTTAGGAAGAAATTCTGTACTGTGGGAGTGGTRAGGCACGRGCAYAGKTTGCCCAGAGACCTTGTGAATGCTCCATCCCTGGCTGGGTGCAAGACCAGGCAAGACGGGGCTTGGAGCAATGTGGTCTAGTGGAAGGTGTCCCTCTCCATGGCAAAGGGGTTGGAACTAGATGTTCTTTAAGGTCCTTTCYAACCCCAAATTCTATGATTCTGTGATTACACAGTACAAAATATACATAAATCAATCCTTGGACTGGCGTGGAAAAGAAGGTGGGAAGTATTTTTACCTGTCAGGGGCAGCATTAACCATCAGTGTCAAAGTCTCACACTGTGAAACTCCTTCCTTCTTCCTTGGACTACTGACCTCTCACTCAGATCACCAGTCCTTTATGTGAAACTCAGAATGCRTCACAGGGTGTTCTTTCTCCTTTACTTAAGAATGGAGCTCCACACTCTCAAAATGGAGTGTATTTTTGATAAGTGTAGGAATATGAGAACATAAAAGAACAGGGATCTTCAGTTTTGGGATGTCAGTTGTGGAGTGTTTTACAGAGATGGGATATTTTTTAAACTTCTCYCTCTCTGAATATCTGTCACTGAAACTCCAAAAGAAGCAAAGCAYGACACATATCTGTTCTCTTGTGAAAGCCCTGGGGGAGAGAACCTACTGAAACACTCTGCTGTTTTCAGATCTTTCCCAGTGTCTGGCCAACAGTGACAGTGCTGGCATRTTCTCTAAACATCTGCTATTGTCTGAGAAGTGGAAGGAAACAGTTAATTTTATCTCCTGTGGCTGTTACAAGATTGACAGTGACAAGTGTGAAATGGACATGTCCCCCTGAAATTCAGAAAAGAAAAACCCTAAGGAACTTTAGAATAAGTGTGTGGACTCAATTCCCTCATCGCTGTGTAGTGTGAGTAGACATTCACATCTGTTAGCAATAAAGCAGCCTCCCTCCTGCTTTTCCTACCCAGCCCAGGCAGCAATATCCAATATTGCCCTCTCTCCTCTATTACTTATTTTAGTGAATTGAATAGTACTAATCCCAGTACACATTAATGCTTCTGAGAACAGAACAGAGASRATTTACTGTTTTAAACTGCTCCAGGAATTATTCCTGCTTAYTCTGTGGCTAGGCATCAAGGGGAAAAGAAGGCCAAAAACTAACYCTTCTCACCTTGCTGGCAGAAAGCTTTTTAAATAACCTATCAAATTTCTGTAATTCTTTCARCAAACACTTAAAAATTATCAGACACATAGCTGAGAAGAAAGTCTAGGAAAATCCACAGAAATGGCTTTGAACTTTCCTCCTGGTGTTCTTACAGTAGCTACTAGATGTGAGTAAAGGGCATTCACATACAGTTTGTTATAAAGCACACACCACATTTTATAGCAAGAACTGTCTGGGTGGATTGGACCATTGGGCTATCTCACYTGCCATCCTATTCCTGGCAGCTGGCAACACTTTCTGCTTCAGGGGAAAGTTAATACGCTACCTCCCACAACCCCACTGACTCTGATCGTATGAAGTAGCCTTCCAGACTGCTCAAAACCAGGTTGATAGATGGTGGATTTGGTTCTAGCAAAAAGGTGGAAGGCTCTTCCTAATTGTTCTCAAGGGCAAAAGGTGTACAGAATTATGTCTGTAATGCATGTTTCCCTGGGAAACATCACTACTGAGGAAGAAGAGTCACTTGCCCCACTGGCACTCCTGTGGCTCCCACTGTGCTCCTGAGACAAGCAGAGAGACACCTCTCTTTCCCAGGAAAGAGCCATTCCTGTCTCTCTGTCCCAGCTGAGGAGAGACACACAAAAAGATGTCCTCACCTTACTCATCTCCCCAAGGATAGTGAGGCACAGAAGAAAGAGCCCCAGGAACTTTAACATGTACCAGCTGGCATGCAGATGAAAGGAAATGTGCCCAGGTGGGGATGGCTGGACCTGAGGGTGTTCCAGCTACCCCAGGGCCAGGGGCTGTGGAGGCAGAGGAGACAATGTTTGAAGCTATACATTRTTTGGAGAAGTCAGGGAAGAGAATTCCAGGTAGGAAACACTGGAGCAGTCTCCTCCTCCTTTGCCCTGCCCAAATGTATATTTGACCTTTCTGAAGGAAGGTGTTTAGACCTCAATACTCAAAAAGAATGTCTCTGAGGATTCTAACAGTATATAACAATACCAATTGCACCTATAGTTCAGGAATCCTACTCAGTCACTCTCGACCTCKTAATGCAGGTTTAGACAGAAGCTCATTCTTTTCTGATCCAGGAAGGGACAAATATACTTGTGGATCTTGCCAGAAATAATTTAAACAACTTGTATGTACTTACAGGAGGAAGTGTTTGTTCCTTCTGTTGAAGCTTGTATCCTAAGCATGGGTTCTGCAACACACAGAAGTAACAATAAAGTTGTAAGAATACAGCCACAGATACAGCACTATACTGGAGGAGCCTCAACATCTTCCTCCAGTAGAGGTTTCTTTTTATTTTTTTTTTCCCCTCAGTAGTCAGAAACCCAGCAGGAGAGAAAAAAGTGAAATAAGCTTGAGAAAGCAAGGAACTTCAAAGTTGGTTCAGCATGTCCTAGGCGCACTGTGAATAATCAATTACAGCAAAAACGCTCTACAGTCCTGGGAGGAAAGGCCAGGAGAAAACTGGCAAAGACAGAGTAAAATTTTCAGCTGTTTCTGACAGCATCAGAGGAAAGTGGAAAGCAGTAGGTCTTGAAGCTCCACATGCTGGCCAGGAAGCACTAGCTTGTCTTCTCACATAACTCCAAATGAGCAGTAAGATATTCAGGCCTTTCACAATTATAGTTAAGGACTTCAGCAACTTGAAAGAGAGGAAGCTCCAGGAGTGTCACCACCTCTGCAGAGAGCTGTAGATGGAAGGGAGAGCAGAACACATTCCAGCCCAAAAYGGGACATAACACTGGCCCCAAAGTGGTTACAAAGAAAGGAAAAAGAATGGTAAATAATCTTGTAGAACAGTGGAAGGAAATGGATCTCAGCACAAATTGCATGAAGGAAGCACTAAGCAAGTTTTATAAAGGAAGCAGGTAGCCTGAAGTGAGGTCTAAATGTCCTGACCTGTAGGAACCTGAAACCACACACCAATTAAGAGCCATGTGTTTGGGTGGCTTCATAGGCTTTCRCTATCTAGAGAATCATATATGGTGTCATGCATGAATAAAGAATTCAAGAGAAGGCATGAAATCAGCTGGAAGGAAGAGTTTGAAGAGAGAATACTCTGCCTAAGTGGCAATGTGATGTGCCAGTGTGGAGAGGGATCAAGGAAGTACAGGTGGCTAACAGCCACCCTGTGAATTCTAGGGAGYGGGTCAGTCATACGGCATGCTCTTTAGTGAAACATTTAACATGTCATGTCACACAGAAAAGATGCATCTGCTGCCTAATAAAGTCTGGTTTTAGGCAAAGTAAAACCACACTTAAAAGCTCAGACTGGTCTGTACGTCCTCCTATCATCAAAAAGTATCTGTAGTGACACTTCAAGAGACCGAGATCCTGGTGACTTGAACATCAGCATTTCACAACATTCTGTCTTCAATTAAAGAAGGAACACATGAATTACTTATTTTCATTTGCAAGTCCTGGGAAAAAAACCAGCAGTGCCCCAAACTCCAGGCACTACTGGTCACCAGGAAACTCATGAMGTGTTAGAGAAAGAAATGGACCCAGGGCTGGGATAGAACAGTGTGAAAAACAGCACCTGGCTGGGTTTGGGACTAAGCAGGTCTCTGCTCCGGCCACAGATCAAAGACTTCCTCAGGGCTCCATGAGAAGACCTGAATGTACTGCTTTCTGCTGTCCAGCAGGAMAATAGCGTGATGTGCTGCTTGGCATGAAATCTGGCAGTGCAGAGATTCATCAGGAATGCAGCCAGCTTTTTGAACACCCCAGCTTCCTCCTCTACAGCGGCACAATAGCAATGAAGAGGAGGACAGTACTGTAACAGCAGGYGCTTGAAGGGACACAAGCAGGGAAAGAGACCACTCAAGAACAAGAACTTTAGTTCATGGGAAAGAAGGCAGCCAAGTGCAGGGACTACATTCTTACTGCACAAGGGAGAAGGCAAGGCAAGCCCAGCGGAGTCAGTGGCCAGCGTGCCACCTTCTTTGAACAAAAATGGTTCCAATGGTTACAGGACACTCGCTATTAGCTATGTGGTCTCATATATACACAGTGAAGCACCAGTGACAGGCCCCACTGAGAACATGAAAGAATATGGGCACATCCAATGTCTCTTCTGTCAGGCAGCAATGCCAAGATTTCAGAAGTAGGTCGCCACACACACAGATGCATCAAAGGAAAGGCTGCAGGCATGCTAAATGCAGAATTTGGCAATCACACTGTTTTCCTTGATCTAGCCTACAAACACTGTCATTTCACACTAAAACCTGTCTCTGCCAGACATAGCTTTCCCAAAAAAGCYAGCAGGACCCCAGCCTCTTTGCAAGCAGAGTATGTGCATCTTACAAATCCTTGGGCTGCTCAGTTTATGCACGTTTACCTACAATTGWCACAGCCGAAGTCAGCAGCAGACAAAAGCTTGTATTGTGGCCATATATTAACTAAATCTTAACAGTTAAATAATGAAAGTGGCTTCTCACTGGGGTCAGTTCCAGGAGTAACTCTGGAAGCATGCAATCTGTAACTGCAGGCAGGATGTTGGAAGCAAATTCCATCATCTGAAAGGAAACCTCCTGCAGAAGGTTCCTAGTATGCCAAAACAGTTTCAGAAGTGGTTACATTACTGACAGAGAGTTACCTGTCTACACTCACAGATCCTGCAGAGCTGTCAGGAATTGTATGTGGAGCCCTCAGGAACACAGCAGGCTAGGCAACAGACTTTCCTGAGGACGCATGAACATGCCTATGCAATCAACAAACTCATAAGCAGCTGATAGGATTYATAGGAGAAGGAGGTAAGAGTTTTATTTTAAAACATAGATCCTAACAACACAAACACTTCCTCACTTGGGCTGTTGCAGCCTGACAACTGTAGGCCCAATTAGCCTCCTCAATACAGCCTCAGCTTAGCAAAAAGTATGCTTGAGCCTTCTTCATTAATTTCTTGGTCCCTGAAGTAGTTCAAGTATGCAGAAATGGAGAYGCTGGATGCAGATGAATTGTTCTCTGCTAAGGAGGAGCTGTTTCAGAGTTGTAGAAGCAGTTTCAATAAGAATGAAGAGAAAGAGATAGAAAGGCTCTGTTAATTCAACTTACGTGAAGAAGTTTTTGTCACTTCTGTTGATACTGGTATGTTGCTGGTACTCTCTGGAAAACACAAGAGGCACAARAAGTTATAATACGGTGTCAGATGATCCTCTAACAGCATTTAGCTCCAGAATGGAAAAGATAAAGAAGAAAATGTATTCAAAGAAGCCAGGTTACATTCTGCTTCAGTAGGCAGAGGCTTCAATCAGACATCAACTCGTGAAAGTTGAGTTGAGTTTCCTTTCGGGAAAAAAACAAAAGATGATGGTGCCTACTAGTAAAACTAAGAAAAAACCCTGTTCCTTCTGAAAGAAGCCAGTTGTTCAAKCTCTCATTTCCTCTGGGAATAACTGATCAGTGGCAACAGGAGAAATCATGCAGATGGCTCTGTTTCTAGAAGACGTCAGTGTGAGTATTCACTCCTTATGCTTCTAGGCAGTTAAATTTTGCAAAGATGTGTCCCTGTTCATATCACTTGAATTGCCGGTGAGTACATCCAATGGTGTCACTTGCCACTTCAGGGAAATCTTCTAAGTCACACATGCAAACCCCGTCCCTCATGGACTGCTGGGGGCTCTGTGATAGAAATCAAACAGTTGYTCTGCTGAAGAGATGAGAAAAGTTGTTCTTCCATACTGGTCCTATGTATATCTCCTCATGCTATTGCTTGTTAYACACTGGCATGGACTGCTCGCAATCACTTGTTGGAGCAGCTGATGGCTAAGGGGGATGTTGCTGCCATGTTCAGATCCTTGCTAATGCAAAATGCACACATGGTAGATAGCAGAATGTAGAAAACCTTTGTTTAGGCTTCACAGATTTTCACAGAGACTTTGCTCCAATGACAGCATTTATTTGTGAGTGCTCTGCTGTATGCRCAAGCCACAACTGTGTGCAATTTCTCAGGTGTGAACAAATCGCTCTTCAGATGTATTTGTCAACAATCTTGGRCTTCCCCAAGTTCTCAAAACAGATTTCAGACTTTAAGTGGTGCATTTCAATGCAGCTGCACAAGTTTTGACTCTACAGCTGGACAGAGGYCCTGAATGCCAAGAAAAGAGTCTTGCCCTGAAACTTCAAGGCACACCAAGAATCCTCTAGTARGTCAAACAAATAGAATTTAGAAAAAAAAGCTTCATAAGAGATTTAGGAAGAGGAAACTCAGGAATGTTTTTATTCTTTTTAGTGAATATGGATTCCAGTGGTTCTCTGCTCACTGTCTCCAGAGTTCACAGAAACTTGACCAGAGACAAAACTAGTCCAACTGTGTTTCCTTCAACATCCCTCTTGTTCAATTTTAACATTGTCTCTGAACTTTAACTTCTTACTTGCTTGCTTCTCTTTCCTAATTTTTTYTTCCATCTTGGTCCAGCTTTCTTTGGCAAATACAGTATTTGCCTAGTTAGTACATCCCAGTTTCATCTCCCTAATGGGAGGGAAAGTGTTATGCGGCATTTCCTTGGCAGCCAGCGGTGCGTGGCATGAAAGCGAGTATCATAAGTAAGATTTTTAAGGTCAAAACCTTTGCATTAGGTCTTGGAACACAGTGGCCTGTAGCCAGGCAGCTTTCAGTATTTTGGGTATAACAGCAGTTTGCTATTGCGCAGCTGYGCTGTCTGAGCAATTAACCTTTCTTAGTCACATCAAGAGATGGAACAGGTCTGACAGCTGCATAGCTCAGCATCTGGCACAACTGGAGCAAATTTTTCTTTCACCATTAAAGAAACCATGTTCCATTTAGTGCCTGTGCTGATCTTGATGGAGCATTTCTTACTGGCACTTTCCCAGCCCAGCTGTGTTAGTACAAACGCCGACGGGAAGCTTCCCTGCCAGTGGAAAATACAGTCAGAGCCTCCCACACCTGAAACGTGCTGAGAAATACATTTGGAAAACAAGTGGCAAAGTCACACTTTATCAAGCCCCACTAGTAACATTGGTGTTGGCAGCACTAACAGGGGATGCTAACATTTGGAAGACACAATATTTGTGTGTATTGCTTACYACACTCTGTACACCACAGTGGTAAGAAAGGCTTTTTACACTGCCTGAGAAGGTCAGCACACACCCACGTGACAAGCTATCTGAACACAAGAAGCAAACAAAAAAGCAGGCTGTCAGTACTTGCCCGAGCTGTAAGAGCTGGAAGTGTTTTTTCAATCATGGTACCTTTGTTGCTGCACTCTGCCAGGGTATGGTGGCGGCAGCCTGCAGCCTGTCTTCATCATCACATTTAGGTCCCCATGAGGAGCAGCCACCTCAGAGGCTAAAACCAGTTCTGTCCCTTGGCACTTCTAGGAATATTAAGCCTTGGTGAAGTGCTGTTTCCTAAAACTGGGTATGTTTGTGCTGGGGCTTTCTTATTGTAAAAGTATTGAAGTATCAGTGAGAAATTCTTGTTTGGGGAYGCTTTAAAGAGCAGGTCCTGCAGCCTCTCAGTCCTATTAGCTTAGTACTCTGGCCAGCAGTATCTTCTGCCTTTYACTCTGACATGATAGGGAAGAGCTCCTTCAACTCACACAGAACTCCTGGCAACCCCACCAACTTTGCTGGCCTTGATATGTTGATCCATCCTTCCAGACAGGGAGCTTTGTTTGGGCTGCTGAGAGGACACAACTGTGAGTGGGCAACAAGCTCTGCTGTAKGGCTCTGAGGGAGGCAGGAGGCTCTTCTCCTCCTCAGCAAGAACCTTTTCTCCAGGATAACCAAATATTTAAGGGCTTTACAGCTGCTGTTGTGAACAGCCCTGTGCATGCCCCCCACAGCCTTTTCTCCCCCACTCAGTTTTTTCCAGTTAATTTGTCAAAGGCCTAACACAAAAAAGTCTGCTTGAGCAAAATGAAGGGATTTGGTTGATCACATAAGTTTTGGTTCAGACCTTGAAGGTGGTGGCTTGGAGAACTCTGACAAGGACAACCTGGGCTTTAAGGAGTATTCAGACACCATGAGATTGTAGGTGGTTAGAGCTGCGAACAAGCTTTTTATCATCCTGAGGTGTACTTTCTGGCAGCAATGTAAGTTTTGCACCTTTTTCATTGTGCTATTCAGGTGATATAATCAGAATTATACAAACAATGACACAAGCTAACATACACCTTGAGGAAAGGGGAGAATCAGACCTCTGCCACTCGGTTGACAGACAGCAGAGCAGGCAGCAGTTGTGAAGAAGGTTGGTAAGACCATAGTCAGAGGTCTCAGAGGCACGCAGGCATAAGTGGTCAAAGACACAGGGTGATCCAACAGCTAAACTAACGTCTGTTTTTTARAACTACTATACCATACCCTTTTCCTCCAAGAAACTACTAATCTGAATCAGATTAAAMGAACACTGCCCTTAATCCAAGTAAGTAAAATGGCAAGAAAAGGGGGAATGCAATACCAAATTGAGTGATGGCCACGGTTCTTTCTAGGAGCGAATCAGTGACACTGGTCYAGGCATTCTGATTTGCTCCAGCTGAGAATCTGACCCATTATRCCAGCTGGTTCAAAACAAACCATGGCCCACGTTGCCTCCAATTATGCTAGAGAGAAGAGATACCCTTCTTTGATCAAGTCTTGGACAGAAGAAGGGCCTCTTTTTGCATCTGAAGTATTTTGTAGTTGGTCCCATGCTCTACAARTGCTAGATATTAGGTGTTTTTATTTAATTATTTCTCAGGCATCTTCCTGAAGCTAAACTACTGTCTGTCTCCAGAAGAGGATGAGCGAATTAAAATTAAATGAATTATGAATATCAGATACTTACTGGTTACTGTACAACTTGGAGCTGTTACTACTACTGCAAGTGCCATGGATACAAGCCCAGAAGCTTGCACAGGCCACWGACTTTGTAGCTAATGAATTCACCAAGGCTCACCTCTGTCTACAACTGAGACACATTAACAGATYACCTGAGTCCTTCTTGTACCCATCAATTCAGGCAAACCTGTCTCAGCCATCCACACTAATGAGTCAAATTGCATCAACTCTCTTTCCACAGACATGAAGGAATAGTGCTCACACAACCCCAGCAGTTCACCAGCATTGTAGACTTCTGGATTTTGAAATACCTCTGCATGAATCCACCCTTTTGTATCCTGAAACATGCYGGGCAAAGCAAACATCCTCAGAGAGGCAAACAAATCAAGTCAACAGGTTTTAATGGAAAAGAATGACACCACATGCAGCTAGAGCATGCTTGACTCTTTATTAAAAAATATCACTTAGCTAGTTGTCTAAATAAGGGGTTTTGTGAGCAAGTGGAAAGCTTTGGCTGTGAAGTACTCTGTCAGTGCTATTTATTAAGCATAGAAAGGTCCTAAGCTGATGAGAAAATGCACCACAAGAATTTTGCCAGAGTAAAGTAACAARTAACTATTTTCTATTGCATTAGTAAACTTGAGCACTATTTATACAATACCAGGAGAATTTCATGCCTTTACTCTGACCTCAATTACAATCTTTCTTAGGGGAGCATACATGAGTATGAGTGAATGAAAATAAGAAGGCTGCTCMTATCCTGTGGGCAAGTTGTATTCATTATAAATTTAAAAGAGAACAGAATAGCTCCTATCGCTTGCTATTAGACTGGTAAAAACTGTGTTTGTGTAACTATTTTTACATTTGTTATGTTTTTAATCCACACACATGACTCCATAGATAAGGCTTTATATGTCTTCCAGTAAAACTGAGAAAATTTAAAAGTCTGTGTAGGTTAATAGTTTGTGTGTGGTGTCTGTTTGTGTTTATGTGTAGCAAAAGCTAGTAGAAGAGCAAATTTGGCAGTTKCAAGTAGCAACAAGGTTTATAATAACAGTAACTGTAAGACGGACAGGAGTTACTATTGCACTGAATATTACTGTTCTAGACATAACAGTTTACCACTTCTGAGAATCAGATCAGGAATAATTAAGGCTCGCTGAAAACAACAAAAAATGTTTTACAACCTTTTTATTGAGAGATACTAATTATTCTATGCCTGGAACAGGGAGTTGAAATCAGCAACTTTCCAACATGTGACCCGAGTGGAAAATGTGTGGCTTTTCCACTTCTTGGGGAAAAGCCCCAACACATTTGCCCTGCTCTTCATTAGGTTTTTTTTTTTTTTTCCTAATGTCTATTGTTAGTTGATGTTAAAAACAAGACACCATGATAGAGAGACCTTTGGTCTGGCCCTGGAGTGCTCTTTTGTGACATACACCAGAAAAAAAAAAAGGTCAACTAAAATATTGCTAGTTTGACAAAATTTTAGGGAATTCAAAACAGGAYTTTTTTTTAGATATTGAGAAGCATTAATCTTTGAGGGGAAATAAAGCGCTCACTCTTAAAGTACCTATCACAAAGGGAAAGGATCTAGTCTGCAGACAGCAGGGCACACATAATAAACATGACCAGGTGAGGTCACTCAATTAAAGGTCATAATTTAAGTTATGGTTCACATGGCAGAGCAGACCAGTATGACCATAAGAAAGTCAGGCCCTCTGGTGCATTTGCCAAAGGTGGAAGAAAGCAACCTTTCTCCTCACTTTGAGAGATTCAGCCTTCTCAGATACCCACACTTTAGTTTTCTACAGTGGCTCCTGGGCTACACTGGGCCCTTCCCCAAAAGCTCTTTAACAGCTAATAACAAGAAACAGTTAAATGCGCTGGATTTTTGTCTGCTGTTTCATTTTCTTTCTTTAGTTTTAAACTCCTTCTTTCTTATGAATATTTCAAGACCTCCCAGATACACAGGACCTGAGTAAAGACTGCCCTTCAGGGCTCATTACCGAGWTTGGATCCCAAATCTGTCATTAAGCCAGCAAGGGGAAGAGGTCAGGGAATGTGGGGGAAGGAGGGGTGAGGAGGTCACCCGTGCAGGAGGTCTATTCCTGTTTGCAAGGCAGATGTTGCCCTTTGAGGCAGTAGGGATCTATTGCTCTTAAGTCGCCAGATGTTGCCCATGCTGTTTCTCAAATCCAGGTGGAAAATTCCACCATTAGAAGGAAAATGGTGAACAATTTTATTGGTAATTTATAAGCAATAGTAAGCAGAACAGGCTCAGATGTATGTGTAGCAACCAAATATGCATGATAGATTTATTCAGCCAATGAATGCTGCCATGCCTGAGTCTAGATGATCAAATATCACTGAGATGTTCCAGTTCAGATATCATTGAATTTCCAGTTCAGATCTGTACAGACAAGAACCAGCTGTCAGGTTTAGACTGGATTCAAATTTGCCCCACATCCAAGGGAGTTTGCATGCATGTCTGTGTTTTTAACAACTTATATTTCATAACACAATTAGACAGATTTTAACCTATATGTTATAGATGCACATAACAGGGCTTGCCCACAAATATTTTCAACTGAGACCAAACTCTTGTCCCCCTGCAACAGGAGTGTTTTGCAGTCATGTAGCATAGCCCAAAAGGAAGTTGAAAAATCCATGTCATGAAGCACAGGCATGAGGTCCCACATGCACTCCCATGACACCATTCCTTGTCTGAGAAAGTAAKAGAAAATAGTCAGGAATTTTTTTTTCATTTATCTGTATCACTGCCTAGGCACAGTGCCTACAGTTGAGTTATGGAAATGACATAGGAGCTTTCCATGTAAGCAGCTAATGAGCAACCAAATTTTGTATTCATGGAAACCAAGAGAGTCTACAAAACTACACAGAAACACCTACCCATTTTTCCTCTTAGTAACATTCCAGTAAATAACACTTGATCTTTTATATCAGTCTCTTGACATCTGCTCATGATTATAATACCATACAGCTAGAATGAAATCCTAGCACTTGAGATTCTTTAGTTGATGAAATAGAATAGCAAATACACAAAGTGAATACAGTCAAGCAATTGCTGTGTGATTACAAAACAGCAGATAGACAAAGACAAATCCCACTGGAAAAGGTTTACATTTGGTTTTCTGTTTATGTAAATGCCTATTTCCCATTTAAGAGCAGAATGTGGAACAGAAAAGCATGCCTGGTAAATTCACATTGCTACAACATCTTTAACCCGTCTGAGATATGCAGAGAACTYCAGCTTTGTTTGCTAATGAGGGTACGTTTGTTTGGCACTTCACAACTGGCTGGACACTGGAGTTTGAATTATGGGAGCTGAATTAGTCAAAGTCACACTTGARAAACAAGATTTCAGCTGAACTGCTGCCTCCAATGCCTTTCCAAAGGAGAAACAGTACTGCAATACATTTGTATGTAATGGAAACATTCACAACATTTCCTCAGAAGCAATTGGAACTCCCTGTAAATGAAATGAGCCCTGCAAAACAAGCAATCTATAATAACTGTAAACCTTTTGAATAAGTCTGAATGCTATCTGTTTCATGAGAAGCTCTGTTCCTCAGGAAATAACCTTAAATCACAACACCGAATCACTGAATCAAAGTACTTGTATCACACTCATGCCTTTCAATAATCTGCCTTCAGACACATTCATGCCTTTGTCTTTACTATATTAGAAAACAAAGGAAAAACCTAACAAAACATGTGAAAGTAAAAATGGTGGAAGTCAGAGCAATACAAACACTACTTAAAGAGGGAAGTGCTGGTTTAGCAGTTCAGACTATGACACATTTTAGGTGAAATGCAAGCTTCCCCCACTGTGTACAGTGGAAATTAGAGCAATAGTCCCTTTCCTTCCATCTTTTTCTTATGTCCACTGTTTACACCGTCTCTTGGTGTTACCTAGAAAATGCTGATTAGTCCTGAAATCTGTAGGAGACATCCCATTTGTGTGCAGGGAAAATCAAGCACCTCAACTACATCACAGACAAGTCAGGCCCAGCTACTTTTCTTAGTACACCGAACATATTTCAGTGCTTCCACTTCCACTTCACTTGCCAAGTTTTGTCCTGCTCCAAAGCCCTTCATCCTGCTGGCAGCTTTAATTMATGGTCTTTCTGAATGTGACAGTAAAATAATGAGTCAAGCCTTACCATTGGTGTCTGTGATGATAACACTGGCTTTAGTGCTGTCATTTCCTAGCTTGCTGCTCACTCTGCACACATATTCCCCAGCGTCGGCCAACGTGGCTCTGTAAATGTGAAGCTCAGAGTATTTCCTGTGAAATCAGAAARAAACATATAAACATCCTGTACTGGAACAACAGTCATTGCATCAACTAAAGCCGTTTTTTTCACCCCTTTCAACAGAAAGTTTTCTCTTCTATTCTTACTGATTATTCAGGTTTGAAAGAAGGAACAAGAATAAAAAAAATTTCTTACAGGCTGCTGGAAAACAGGCATATTCATGAACTCAAATGAAGGTACTTGTTTATGCTTTTCTGTATGAGAGAAGTCTTTGCTCTTAAAGGAAATCTGAAAAAAACCCATCCGACAACCATGGTCTCTCAGCTGAACTGTTGGCTATCCAGATGTCATGAAGATGGGTGAAATATTAAAATAGATTACCCTTCCCTACAGGTTCATATTACCTGTAGCAGAGTTCTGGGTAAGTACTGTAGTTCCTAACATCTGACTAAATAATCATGAGATTAGAACACACCGCACTCTTTAACAGCCTCTGAAACCCCAACAGTAAATCATTCTCCAGTGCTAACAAAAAAATCATGGGCAGGAGCACAATTTGCATGAAACTACATTTTGTTCCTGGCTCAGAGATGTAATTTAATCAGTCTCCAAGGTTTTAAGATTAGATTTTCAAATGCAGAGCTCCTGCCTACCCATTAATTTTGTAGGAACATGTTCTGGTGTCATTCATGGGGTCCCCAACACACAAGATGGCAATAATCCTATTATGTAGACTGCAGAGAATGACTAGCTTGGGGAAAATGTGCACATTACTGCTGTTCCCAGTTACTGGTTAAAAGAAGTGCTCTGGGGAAGTTTCTGCCTGTCATAAAACCTGATCTACAGAATAGCCAGAGTGCTTGAACACTCGCTTCCCTAAGCTGGTCTACCCTGACTTGAAGGGCTGATCCCAGGAGGCAGCTATTGCTCACTCTAAAAACTCATCATCACTGTCATGTCTAGCTATGACAGCTGAGCTAAACAATGTTTGGGGAGCAGCTTTGCTTCAGCACTACAATGTCTACTAACTCTCTGTGCAGAAATCACAGCTGGTGATTTACCCCTCCTGCAAACCCCTGAGCAGGGCTTGGCTCAGAGCACAAACAGGTCTGTTGTAGCAGTGTGGGCTTCTGAAGCAACCAAAATGTTAATGTCATTTTACAACCCATCTTTGTGAGCCATCCCTACCTCCATCACAGGACATTATCCTATCTCCTACCAAACATTATTGGCAGCKCAGCCTTCCCAGCCTCCGTGTGAAAGTCCTACTGCTCAGGAGTCAGCCCTGTGGCGCTCATGGAATGAAAGCAGGGTACGAGGTGGACCCCTCTCTGCCACAAACGTGCATCATCAGAGTTTCCCCTCATGTCCTGAAAGAGCACTGCTTTCTTGAGGCTGCTGGGCTTGCAAGAGGGAGCAGCAKCCAAGCTAGGATTAGCAATTTACTCATGTTTTACTCAAATGGTAAAGAAATGTAAAGCTGACTATTTGGGCYCCCTACCCGGGAAATGTTGGGAGCCCAGTTTCCAGTGCTAAATTAATTAACTGGGCTGCACCTCAGATGGCACACAAGAACAGATTCCAGCTGGTGGCAACCATGAATACACAAGAAAAAAGCGGTAAAGCCACTGACAGAAATGTCAAAAAGTTGAATGTTACTGCATCTTTACATGAAAATTTTGTGTCTAACAGCTATGCTTATACAACAGTAAAAGWGGCCTGCTTTTTAATTTGCCTGCCAGCCATCCACCTTTGTAACAGCCTGACCAGGAACGTTGTGTGGTGTTCCTCACCTCCTAAGAGCTTGTGTGGACATGTGGTATTTCCTATACTGCAACAGGTTAACTCTCAGCCATACTTGCAGACACTTGTCTAGGTGGAGAGGAAGCTGTAGCCTTAGGGAGCTTCAAATGGAAAGGTAAACAGGCTTAGTTTTTTCAAGAATTCACTGTAACCCAGTGAAAAGGAAGGAAGCACAGCTGCAGCTACATCACTTTAATGTGGACATCCATTGCATACTCGCTGTATGTATCTATTAAGTAATATTGACATATTTTTGTTTTACTTGATACATATGGGAAAAGACAAGGAATTGTGTCTTCCTCTTATGATTTATAGTATTTTATTAAAATAGGTGAAGCAACTATATTTCTTACTAATCCATTTCTCACAAGCCAAATTGACTCTTGGTTTTAGGAAAAAACCCTGTAAGGAGTTTTGTCTCTGAGAGCAGGAGAAAAAATATGAATATTTATAGCCTTGAAAATATCATTGAGAGGTATTGGAGCAGAATTCAAAACAGTCAGAGCAGAAGATGACTCATTAATGGCTGTAAATGAGGCAGTTTCCTAGCAATACAGTACTCCAACAGTACTCACTTAARGCCCCAATAAGGGATTTTGTTTTCAAAGCTTTGTCCTTTTCTCAAACTATATCACGCCACTCCAAAAATAAAAAAGCCTCTCCCTGTAAGATTTGCTTCTGCTGAATCTTTAGCTCATTGCCACTATGACACCGCTGACTCGTATTCATACATGAAGGGGAAAGAAACACATCTGCAGAATGCAGTCCCAGCCCACCTTATCTGATTGCTTGAATTCATTTTGCTCCCAGCCTCCATYTGTCACCCAGAATTGCCTGTCTGCAGGCAAATATCCAGGCTAAGCTTGGATGAAGCTCAAGGTACAGGGCACTTACACACAAAGCTTCCTCCTGCACTACTGCACCCAAAGCCATCAGCTACATGAAGTGGCAAACACCTTGTCTCTGCCACAAAAAAAAMCGAACCCTGGTAAGAGGGTCTCTCCTCATGTAATGAAGAATGATGGACTTGTACAATACACTGCCCAAACCAATGATGTACAGGTTTCACCTGCATGAGTAATCAGAGAATGAAAATGAAGGGGACAGCCATGGGAAAGTTAGCTAGTAGGTGATTTTTTTCTGTATCTCTACTGCCACAAAGAAATAGCTTAGCACCTGGACACACGAATCAACCAATCACAGCCTCATCAATCATCAGCAATCATTAGCTGAAACTCAGTGACTGCATGCTCTTATTCTGACAAATATGAGGGGAAAAGTGAGTGTTTTAAATGCCTTTCATTAAAATTTGAACTCATTCAGTTTCTCTTGACTCTCCAGTGTAATGAGAGGGAATACAGCCGTTTAGTGTGACTCACTCGTCATAAAAGTATAAAATCACACAATAGTTTGGGTTGGAAGGATCCGTAAAGCTCATACAGTTCCAACCTCTCTCCATGGACAGGGCTATCTTTCACTGGACCACATTACTCAGACAGCCCCATCCTTCCTGGCTTTGAACACTTCCAAGGATAGGGAATCCACAACTTTCTGGACAACTGTTTCAGTGTCTCATCACACTCACAGTAAAAAATGYCTTCCTAATACCCAACCTAAAACTACCATCCTTCAGTTCAACAAGATTCCCCATTGTCACTTCACACCCCTGTGAAAACCCAGCCTTCTTGTAGCCCCSTCTTAGGTACTGAAACGTGCTGCRAGGTCTTTCCAAAACCTTCCCTTCTCCAGGGTGAACAGCTCYCAATTTCTCATCCTGTCTTCACAGGAGGGGTGCTCCAGTCCTGGGATCAACCTAATAGTTTTTCTCTGGACTCACACCATGTCTTCGTTGTGTTGGGGGCCCTAAAGCTCAATGTACTAGTCCAGGTRGGGCCACCATGTGCTGGGGTTCTGTGCCCTTGAATCGACCCTGAAACCATCCTAGGGAGCTTGGAGGATGAAACCATTTGACATGCAAAGCAGTCTTCAGAACGTGGCTGAGCTTTGAAGAAGCCTGCATTGCCACAGGGTCTTCTAAACTCCTAAAACACTTAAGAAAACAGCATCTGCTCCACTTTGGCAGATCCTTTGATCCAGCACTGCTCACATTAGCCAATGAGCCCAAAACAACCAAGCTGCCATATTGTCTTTTCCTTGCATGCTTCAGGTGTCAAGCTAAGGTCTTAATTTTCAATTCCTGCGACAGGCACTTCATCATATTGCCAGATATTTTGCAGCTTGTTAAAAAACCTGAATTCAGCTTTAGCTCTGGCTATGAAGACAAACCTCAGAAACATTTATTTTTCTCCCAACAATAAACGGGTTTTATTCTGCCATCACACAGTGAAAAAGGTGTCTTCATGCAAAATGCTACACTACTAAAAGTCTGTAACCATTGGGCACTACTTAAAACTTTGCAAGGTTTTYGTAAATATGTTAGAAAGTGTTATTTTTAAGTGTTTGAATTGAAGATGTCATGTTAATGCATGTTAATGGCTCTTCAGAAACCTGGCTACCTTTTATGTAACCATGTGAACTTTCAAACAAACATCAATCCCAGACAGCCTAACAACTACTCTAATCTTCCCATTTGATGTTTCTCACACTTGGTAGTAGTACAAAATCCACACTAAAATGCTTGTTGTAACAATACAGCAGCATATGAATATGACAAACATTTATCAGTATGTCATCATGCAAAAACACAGAGAACATAAGTGGGGGAAAAAAATTCCTTGATCTCTGATACTCTTCTAATTTGCACCAGGATCTTTTTAACGTGTCTTTGCTTACTGCATGCCTTTTTATGCATTCATTTGCACTGCATTTCCCCCAACTCTTCTTAAGCTTTATAGTGTGTCTGTCCCACTTTTCATCAAAATAAAATCTATTTTCTCTTTAACTGTTAATTTCTACTCCATTCTGGATGCACACATGAGTAGCAAAATAAGAAATGGCAAAGCACTGACACGTCCCCAAACTAAAATGTCAAAGTAGGAAGGCAAAGAAAATCCTTCAGATGTTAGCAGACATCCCTTTTCTTTCCTGTTTTTGTACTCTACATCAAGTGACTTTCATGTCTGTAAGTAGACATGCTTCTCCATTCCACCTGACATTTCTAAAACACAAGAGAAATTCCAACCATGAGTGGTATCATCGTGACTGGGGAAGCCCAAATGTGTGAAAYACAGGTCAAAGTCTGCACTCTGCCCACTTACGGTGAGTGAAGATGACCTCGTATTTCCATCTCCCAGAAAAAGGCACAAATTGAATCTCTTTCATGATGTATCTTTTGGGGAATTTCAAACAGTTTTTAGYACAGCAAGCTGAAAAATAGTCTCACACATTCCACATGCACCAATATCAWATCAATAGCTATTAGTTTCTCTTCTGACAGCTCCTAAAAGCTTTTTGGGGGCAAAAAAGAAGACAAAGAAGTGAGCTGGCAAAAGGATTCAATGCTGAACTGATAAAGTCCATCTCCAGAAGGTGAAATCCTAACCCCAGTGAGTTTGGTCAATCAGGATCAGCCAAAATGTAAGCACAGAAAACACAYTGGTTGCCCCTCACAGGCGGCACTGTGTTGATGGGAAAGCTAAGGGCTAAGTTCTGATCTGAACATTTTCTTTACAGAATAGACTGAAAATACAACTCTGACGGAGACATATGGCTCTACAAATGAGTCCAGACAATTTGCCAGGCTATCTGCCACCTGGAACAGCTCCATTTCGCAAATGCTGGAAGGAGACATCACAGGTTCCTTCTTGACATCTGCGCGACCATGGCATGGGGGCTGTGGCAATGCTGCTCTACCCCTCCCCATGTTTCATCTTGTACCTCAGGCTGGGGCACAAGAAACTGCAAGGGAAGGCAGGATTTCTAAATTTTAACCTGAATAATTTCAAAAAGATGAATGTCTATTTGATTATGCCTTCTGTTTTGTCTAGTGAGGTAAGCCCTTGACACAAAGTATGGGGGCAGTGAACACCTTGGAAAGAAAAACCTCTTGCAGAGCCCATTCCCAAACTTCTGTGTCTTGAATGAAAGGAAGGCATGGCATAGCACAGCAGAGAGTAGCCYTGCCTACTGAGAGCAGAAGTGAGAGTTGAAGGGCTGTGTTCAAACAGATTTTCATAACTGGCGACAATTAAAACTTTTTAACTTAAATTACARGTTGGAGACCAAGCAGCAAAAACCTGCTCCTGTCTCAATGCAGTGAAAGCATCGTGTAGTTCCCCTGCTGCAGAAACAAGGCACYGGTCCATCCCTTGGCACTGGTCATCAGTCACATGTAGGGGGCACTTTCCACCAGACAGGAGGATGGAATTTGCACGCTTTGCCACTCAGCTGACATCTGCTACACCAGTGCCTTGCTCTGCAAGTGCAGGAATGTCTCTGGAAAAGGACTACTGCATGTTTGTGYAAGACATGGCAATCTAATGCGGACAGCATACAGTCCTTCTTAAGGACTAAACTGCTTGGAAAGAAAATCTCTAAAATATTTCAAAACCTGCAGTCCTTTGATGATTTTACGTGTTCTTTGATTTTAGACAACAAACATAAGGTACCTCTGTTCTTGTTAGCAGTTTAAAAATGGCCTGTCTCCAAGGTTTACTGGTTAAAATCATAGCCTTTGGCTATCAGAAAACAAATAGAAATTGAAAGGGGAGAATTAATTATGAAACATTTATATCACACTAACACTTCGTTCATACTTTCAGGAAAAATAACAWTGGAGTCCGTTTCCTTAAATTTTCTTCCTGTGTAACTCACAGCTTTTAGCTTTGTGTTACTGCAATTAGCAACCCCAGTGCCTGTGCTCCAGTGAACATCACTTCCCAGCCCTCCAAGCCCCCACAGCCCCACTTGAGAGATATTACTTTGTACTTACTTTTGTTTTTTKGGGATCTTGATATTTTCCGGTCGGTTTTTTTTGGTTATTTCCTTCCCATTCTTTAACCATTTGAATCTGAGCGCAGGATACTCTGAAGTGGTTTCACACCTTAGCACTAGCTTCTGACCCACAGCAGCCTCTTGGTTTTTCATCTCCTTCAATTTGAGGGGCACCACTGAGGAGATAAAAGGACGTGCTGGTGATTAGGCCATCCTTGAAAAGGGAAACTTCACTTACTCAAGTTGAGCTAGGCAAGCTGTGGAGCGCGAAACCCCAACCACACTAGCAGCGCTTCCACAAAAACTCCTAAAAAAAAGGATCATTTGTCCTTAAAGCATAAGGGCATATTAAATGACAGATTGCTTTGACCCTGAAGAGCTCTCCTGCCGCAGTCTTAGCACCTGCAGGCCATAGTGAGAGCCGAAGTGCTGCTTGTGAACACAGCATGGAAGCACTAGCAGCACTTATTTGATTGCGTGTGCCCAGACACAAGACAGGACACTGTGGCAGGCACCTCAGGCTGGCAACGCAGAAAGGCAAAGGCAGGGGATCATGCTGCTTTACTAATTTCAACTGTTATGAGTCACGGCCACCCAAAGGCTCCAGGTGCAACTGGAGTTAAAAGCACAAATATAAGCTCAACAGTCTCCATCTTCTCAGGGAAAGGCTTTTGCTCCAGCCAAACATTATAACCCACATTATACACCTACCTCAAACCTCAGCTTGGCCATATCCTTTCCCTGAGGCAAAAGACAACAGGCTTGGAAGCCCATCAAAAGAATCAATATCAATTAAGGGTATTTTGGACCCAGAAGGGGACACTGCATTGAAAAGGCTCAGCCAGCACACTGCAGGGTTCCAGCTGACGCATCTCATTTTCTCCTGTGTTGTAGCAATAACGTTTCTTGTGTGTCTAAACCTCAAACCATTTCAGGCTTTCTAAGTTATAGACCTCTAATACTACACACAGTTACTGATCTTGGAGCACAGGTTCAGAGGAAGATGCAGTCCATTTGTGAAATACTACCCTTCATTTGACCCCGTGTGCCAGCTGTAAACCAGCAAATATTGTGGTCCAGCATGCAGGTAAAACACCAATACTTGACCTTGCTCTCYCTGAGGTTTAAGGTAACACCTTCACCACTCAGGCAGGGCTAATGTGGGAACTGCAGCTGGGCTGCTGATGGGTGACAGCCTGGAAATCCATCCTGGCCCAGCTGTGCCCCACCTGAACCTCCAGGGAGCCCCTACTGCTGTGCAGCACCTCCAGCTGCAGGACATTCGGTTTCTTGTAATATTGTCCAAGGACACAAATGACCATCATGGCCAAATGATGCTCCATAACATGGAGACCTGGATCCATCCTCCATAACATGCAGGCCAGGAACACTCAAAGAGAAACCAAAAGGTCTCCAACACAGTCCTGTGCAAGAACATGTCAAACAAACGGGACACTATTATAGTTTGGCATTATGTTCCTTGTGTGTTCGTAGAGACCTGCTGACATCAGTGCCCTGAATTATTATTCCTGTAAGACAAAAACCAASCAGCACCCTCAGAGCCATAACTATGAGAAGCCTAAATAAATAACTGATATGCACATACTCAATAAGTGGGTGACTGTTGAAGGCAGCAGCATGGCCTGGCCCACATGGAAGACAGCCTTCCTCATCCCTGAATTCCCTGGAAACTGAGCCCAGAGCAGCATAAACAGTGGTGGTTGGAAAAATATGGTCTRCAGTGAGTGACCAAATGAGGTCATGCCTGCTGTGACACCAGCAGAAGACAGAAAAGGGACAGAGTAGACTTCCATAATTAAAACCCTTCTGATAATGGAAAGGTGACAACTTTTTCCATGCACCTCTGCTGGTGTGGTCAAGTTTCTGGCAGGAAGTATTCTAGATATCAGCAAAATGTCTCAGAGGGAGACTTGTCTGGGAAGGCCAACCACRGACAGTGTACACACAGGGTAGGCACATCTCTCAGGGTGGCACTGGGATAGATCAGGTAAAGGCGCAGCATTTCACAACTAGAATGTCTTCGCATATGTTAGTTTCCATTTTCTCCCACTCCCCTGGATAATTTTGGAAATTTCAGTGTGTTCTGAAAATGCTATGAAAACAATTTTTGATTTCGGAAAAACAAGTGCCCACACACCATCCTGAAACCAATATGTTTGACTACATACACTTTTATAACTGTGTGTTTGTGTGTGTGTATATATATATACACACACACACATACACACATTTATATAAGAACACATGTAAATATTGCCTGCATATAAATATTTTAAAAAATAATAATATTTAAATTTTCCATCAAGAACAATTAGCATTAATTAATGGCCATACTACTGAGGCTTCTGCTGATAGTTTCATTCCCTCATTAAAGAGTTAATGTTATAGTCTTTTGTCACTGTATAAGAAAAGGAGCTGCGGAGGTTTGAAATACAAAGGCAATATTCCTTATTTTACCATATTTCACTTGTTATAGTTCTACTCCGTATCTTTAATAAATTAAAAGAATAATGACAATTGCAAGGATGAAAATTTTTGTGCTTTAAACATCAACTAGTTATTGACTGTTCAATCAACACAGCAATGTGAAACTGGGAATAAAAGAGAGATGCCATTTTGTTCCTGATTTTTATTTTAATTCAGTATTATCTGCTCAAAATGACTTGCAGATTTTTTCCCCCATCAGAGCTGTCAGTGAAAAAAAGAGAAGTGTTAAATTAATATGCTCAACTCTTGCCATGATTCAGGAGTTACCGGGAAACATAAAAGAGGATTTAATCAATGGCAGTGACCCTAACTAATTCACAGTAACTTGCTGTCCAAGCATGCAGGCTCTCCAGGGAAAACAGTAAAAGCTGTTCACAGACATGACAGAAAAGAGATTGTTTCTTTGGGGTTTTTTTTTCCCCTTCTTTTCATTTCCACTATGTTTGTTTCCTTTCAGTTGCAGTTTTGCAAAAGTTAATCAGACCTGCCAGGCATATGAGAAAGCTTGTGCTCATAAAACTACAGTATTGTGTACTTGGACCAAGATCAGCCACAGCTTCCAGTGCTGCAAGAGGTAGCTGACTTTCATCACAGCCTGTGCCAATTCCATGGTGCTGGTAAGACAGGACCTTGTCTGCAGGGTAAAAATCCTTTTAGAATCTGAGACAAAAATGATAACTAGCCATAGCTCCCCCTGACACTGCCCTCCCTGCCTCTTTACCCCTTCTCCCTTTGTCCCCACAGTGTCTCCTGCCAGCTTGGCTCCTTTCCACTTCTCCTTGCTGTGCCTGTCACGCAGKACCGCTCCTGCCGCCGGCGGGGCTTCTGCCCACTGTGTGGGGCTGCCCACGGCAGGCAGGAATGAGGCAGGAAGGGCAAGGGAAACACTTTCCGCATTTCCTACAGGTAGACAGAGGTTGAAGTGACATCAGGGACACAGGGACTCGGTCAAAATGAAAATGGAAGGGAGACAGCATTTGCTAGACTTTTTGAGCAGTGCCATTGTGAGCAGCTGTGGTATGGCAGCAGCAGAGCCCTTACACATGCCATCCATYACAGAATGACAAGGGCCAGGGAGCAAAGAAAACAGACAAATCCTGAAGAGAAACAGCATAAACTATGTGTGGAAGTACCCTGAAAGAGGAGCTGCTTGAATGAAAGATGTGGTGGGGCATCTACTTTATCTGCGTTCCTTGTGCCAAAATGCGGTAGGGCCTCACATTTAAGAGTCAATTAGACACACAGAAAGGCACCCAGGCTTTTCACACTACTCAGTCAGGATGTCTCTCTGTGACCCACAGACCTCCCCTGCTTTGACAGACTTTCTAAGAAAGCAACAAGGGTGATAACAGTGAGAGAACACAAAGCAGCCGAGCAGTTGTGTCAGCAAAAGCCCCACACAGCTGGGAGGGTTTAACAGGCAAACGCAAGCAAGGTGTTAGATTTTTCCTTATTAAGATGGTTTGAATAGCTGTCATTTTGTTAGCAATTTTTTTCGGAAACTTATGTCTGCTGGCCTGCATAATATCATTGCAGATAAGGAACACGCATTTCCATATTCCCTCTGCAAAAGGCTCACTGATAATGTATGACTGCAGATAACTTCTCCCCAGACTTGTGAGTTTGGCAAAGAACATCAATCTCCTCACTCTCGGTGTTTGATTGTATAGTTAATCTGCATGGAAGCTSAACACATTGAACAAATTAAACAGGAAACCTGCAAAATATTATCACACAACCACACTCAGCTGAAATTCCATAAGTGGTTGTTTTTATGTCTCTGTCTTTTCTTTCCCCTAGAAGGTGCAAAGCCTTTTCAGAGCGTGAGTACAGGAATGTATTAGGCATGCTTGCCAGCAGGCAGGCACATATGCAGAATTTGCTGCAGAAAATTGTGACCAACAGCTTGGTGAGGGGTAAGAGAAGCCACAAGAATAACACCCATTGCAGTGGCCTCAGACTTGCTGCCTTTTTTTTTTTTTTTCCCTCATTATGCTCAAGGCAGGGCAGTAATGCAGGACAAATCATATTATTTCCAAAGGCCTTCTACCCTTGCATATGAGATTGTAATCAAGGTCAGGCTTACCATCAGCAGACCAGGTTTCCTAAACATAAAGGCTATATTTCAAAATGTATATTGTTCTTGCGTAGACAGAAGGTATCCCCCCAAAGCCCCCAAAACCCTAACCAAACAAATAAATCCACAACAAACAAAACCCACAAAAACTTGTGTTGCTTCTGTTGCTTTTAATCTTCCTATTATTCTCTCAGGCAACATTTGAATTCTGAACACTTTTCAAAATCTGGCTATTTCCTGCAAGCATGCTGAGTCTCTGTGAAGTTCACCTGCATGATAAAACACTGCGGGTAATGATAGAAGATAATCCCAACCAACCAGCTCTCCAAAATACCAGAGTAACTGAACATGAGCTGAAGGACTGAAAAAAACCAAACAAATCATTTAGCTACTTAATGGGAATTTCTGAACTCTTTTGAAAATACTGCCAGGTACATTTCAGCTCTGGGTCCTGATATTTGAAAACTTGTGTCTGTGCAGAGCAAATGGAAAAATGGAAACCTGACGTTTGTCCTGAACACTACACATAAAACCAAGATCCACAGAATATCACTCATTCTAGTGATGTTAATACGAAATTTTTACAGAAAT